GCATGGGTGGGTAGTCATTAGCCTTCTGAGCTTTGGTTACAGCCTTGTTTGCGTTGTCTCTGATGGATTCTGGTCAGTGGCCCACACAGAATGGAAACTGTGACCTCACTCTTAGCAAGCAACTGTCTGCTTCATGAAAAATGCTCTGAATACTGAGGATAATTGAAGCAGAGAATGGTCTGAGATGGTAGGTCTGATTCTGAAAAGGGGACATTTTTTCAGTCTACACCAAGGAGACATCCTGAGGCCTTACCTTATGTTACAAGGTGATTTGCATCTGCTGGTCATGGTCGGGATCCAGCAATGAGAGTCCTTCAGGTTGGTGGATGGTCTGAAGAAAAGCTAAGTGCCTGAGTACTTGCAAACTGGAGTATCTGCCAACAACTATACATAATTTTCCCTGGGCCAGGACTGAAGCAAACCAAAAAGGGAGGAGACTGTACAAGTTATAGAAGTCATGGCTGTCATCTGGGCCTCACCAGGAGTGCTGAAATACTCACATACAGTAATTAAGCATGCCATGAACTAGTAAACTGAGTTAAGAGAACTTAGAAGAGACCACTTTGAGGCAGTAAGGAAGCACTTAATGAGTGGTCAAGTTAACACTGCACAAAAGTAGATCTGAATATCTGCACAATAGGTATTTATTTATTTATTGCCCTTGAGTCTTACAGGACCAAAGTGCTACATGTATGCTCTACTTCATTGCACAAACTTTTACTGTTGAATCAGCCTATTTTACAGGAGCTTTATGTAAGGTATGGGGTTCAGGTTGTCTTTTCTGGAATGGGGACCCTCTGAATCTTCCTTCTTGTTTAACTTCCCTATCTTCTTCCCTTAAGGTCTTTTTATGATCTCTTTGAAGCTTTTCTCTGCAATCCTAGGATAGGAGCATGGTTAAGTAGGAGCATTTTACACAAAAATCCTTGGTCCTGTTCAGTTTAGTTTCTTTTGCTTCAGACTAGGAAATCCATGCTGAAAATTATTTTGCAAGATATAGCAACATGAATACCACAGTGGGTAGCTGTACTCGGTGCACCTTGCAGTGGGTTGGCAATTCCAAGGCATGAGCATTTAACCTCTCAGCTCTTGTGTGATGTGCGCTGGACGCACAAAGCTGTTGCAGCCTGCTTGGGATGAGAGCAACAAGGGGGCTTAAGAGAGATGAAGCAGTAAATGCTGCCCTTCAGATAGGGAAGTCTCAACTCAGTGTTTACATATTTCTTTCCTCCAAAACACACAGAGTGAGGATGAGGTGGGGAGCAGCTGATTTTGAGGAGATGAAAACTCAAGTATTACCAGGTTTACCACATCTTTAGAAGCTGATCCAAACCCCATCAAGCTCAGTGGAAAATCGCCAATGATTTGAAGAGTGTCTGGATCGGGCCCTTAAGCCCAGCTCCTGCAATTTGGCACACTGTTCTTTGTGCAGCTGAGTAATCCTCATCCCAGTCCTGTACTCTCAGGAAGTCAGAGCACAGCAATGTGCTAGCAGGCTGCAGGGACCACCCTCTGAAATGGCAGAGAGCGTCCTTTCACCTTGTCTTAGGCATGCAGAATAGCCTGAACACAGCTGTGTCTCCAGACTTACATTTCCTGTGAAGCTTTGTCTTCTTTGCAGCTGGATACCTGAACCACCTTGAGCTGTGGAGGGACTTGCAGAGCTTTAGAGGTTCTGCATCAATATCTGGAGATGGACGGTTTTGGAAACTGTTAAGCTTTTGTTCATTGCTTCTCGTGTGGAGGAAGTGAGAGTGTGGATCTTTAACCCCCTGGAAGTGATTAGAGATGAGAAGCACAAAGGAGGCCTTGATGAACATTTTCCCCCTAAGCCATGTGGTTCCTCGCTTTCCGGCTCCTGCTGCTGACATGCAAAACCAGAGCCTTGGTTTTTAATTTTTCATACTGTTTTTAAACAGATACTTTTGCAAATGTAAACATGCCCCAGCACTGAAGGTTTCCAGCCAAATTAAAGAGTCAACACTGGAAAAATCAGCCTTCAGAGGAAGGTCAAATACAAGCAATCTCTGGAGTTCATTGGGTCCATATGTGTAAACTTCAGCTAATATGGGATAGACTCAGGGCAGCACTTACCTTGCAGTACTCAGCTAGTTTCAGAGTGAAAGGCTGAAACTGTCCTTAGGGATGCCTGTGGTCTGAGCAGTAGATTTGAATGTGTTGAATGAAAAAAGATCCATGTTCTGACTCTTGGTTCCCTCTTAACAGGAGGAAAGAAAGTTGGGAAGGAAAATGTGCTGTTTGGCATTAATTCTGACAACTTGCATTTATACATTCTTATCTGGGACCATGCTGGGTTTAATAATCTCCAACTACATGCCTATAAAAGCTTAATTTTGCTGTGAGGATGCATGCCTTTCAGCCTTTAATTTAATAACTGGGAAGGGTTTCTTTATAAGTTGTACCACCTGCAGTAGTAATAGAAATCAAGACACTGCCTGTTATTTCTTGGGCTTGATTGACATTTGAACCAACTTGGAAAGATTCAAGCAAACTACTGCCTTTAATTTTTTTTAAATTATTTTTACCTGTAGTTTGTCAGAGCTTGCCATTAAAAGGAAGAACTGATGAGTGTACCTCTCTGAAGTGAGGAGCTTTTGCTTAGAGCAGCAGATGAAGACATATTCTTCCTGCCACTGCACTGTAATAGTGGGTTAGTTAGTAGGGAAGAGTTGGTAGAAGAGGAGGTAAAATGACAAGAGAAATTATGGCCTAAAAGCAGGATCCTTAAAAGTTATCATCATTATATAGAAATCCCCTAATCCTACCCCCGTCAGCCAGCAGAAATGCCAGAAGATCTGCAGCACATGTCAGCCGGCTAACCTGCCTGAAAGGTGTTATTGTTGCTGGTTCTGCTGCTTGGCTCAGAAATGTCTCTGCAGCTAAAGAGCTACAGGAAAAGAAGTCAGAGCCCCATTAGTTAGGAGAATGCCAGAGGTGAAACTGCAGTGCCTCCCTGGTGCTAGTACATCATTAAGGGTCCCAGAGGAGTGTAGGAGGTGGAGATGCTTGAAGGTTAGACGGGCTGAGTTATTCCTTAACTCATGCCTTTTCATTGAAGAGCAGAGGAGGTACACGTGTTGTGTGTGGTTATGCGGTGTGACGGGAATGCTGAGAAGGGTTGGAAGCCTCCAGCTCCCAGCAACGGAGTTTTTATATTGTGAGGATGGAGGTCTCGCTGTTGGACAGCTCCTGGCAGCATCCAGTTAGGCAGGGCATGGAACCAGGGCTGGTGGTGTCCAGCTCCGTGGTGAGGGACCTTAGGAACTGCTATGAAACATGGTGGTGTTCAGGACAGAGGCAGAACAAGATCCTGCTTTGGAAAGAGAGGCAGATCATGTAGAGTGTAGGGACTTTATTTATATGTTTTCTTAAGGTTTTGATAACTTAAGGGCTTGATTAAATTTCATCCATCCCTGGAGGGAGAAAGGACTTGAAATGGCTCAACAAATACCCCTGTGTCAAAAGTTTTATACTGTTGCACATCTGTAATCCCATGAAACATGCCAAGACAACAAAGGCCTTAATGAGATTCCTCATCAGCACTGTCCTCTCACCCCTATGGAAATGGGAACTAATGCCTACAACAAAGCGTTCAAACCTGACTGCCTTCAGTGAGACTACTCAATTTATCATTGGGGATATAAAATGACAGTGGAGCATGTTTTTGCAGAGCTCTTTTGAACTTGTCTGAACTATATCATTATTGTTATGAGTCATCAGATCATTGGCCTGTGTATTGGTATCTTGTTGGCATGAGACCAGAAGATATTACCTTTCATGTTGAGTCTCCTGGATCCAGTCCTTGAATGAGGTAGAGTTACTTGTCAACAGGTCACAGAGGGTCCTTTGGTCTCATTTGTGCCTGACTCCCCGAGATATTTGGTATTCTCCATGTATTTTACAGCCATAGTAGTTAACAGTTCTCAAGAGAAATCTTCACAGTAGAGCTGAATGACTTTCTGAAAGATACATTTAAATCCATTCCCATTTATTTTGTGCTGTAAAGCTGTAAGGTGAGAGGTTGAAATTCTGCGATCTCTAATACACACAAGGTCAAAGTCGGTAGTGGTATTGAAAGCTGGGATCCTGTGAATGCCCTAGCATCACGTCTGAGTACTCTAAAAATAGTAATTTACCTTTTTCTTTAAACAGGTGTGTTTTTTATTACAACAGGACTACTTGTCTTAGATCTCTCAGTTGATATTGTGTTAATATATTGGCTTCTAGAAGAGTTTTGCCTCTGTGACCAAAGTATAGGCAAGTCTTTTGCTTTCCATTTAACATGTGTGATTGCAGTTTGGACAATTGCCTAGATTGGCAAATGCAAGCTAGTTCATAGAGCCAGTCTCAAGCTTGTGCAGTCACTCAGCCACAAAAATGCTGTGATGACACCCCACACCCCACCATCTAAAAATGAAGGAATGATTTAACTGATAGGGATCTGAGATGTTAGGTAAAGTGAAACCTAGAAGAGAAGCTAAGACCTGAAAGAGAAGGTAAAACCTGTCATTGGAACAGCTGGGTCCTGAGTGTAGATCTTTTGTACTCTAAGTTGGTTCTCCATCAGTTGGCCTTACCTTCTGTTTCTGGTGGGCAGCAGTTTCCTTTTGATTAGCACAGAAGAAAAGGCTATGCAGGTGTTATGGCAGGCAGCCTTGTCCCTTTACACCACTTAATCCTTGCACTGAAGACGTTTCCTCAGTTTTAACAGAAGTAAAATCGAGCTGCTGTTGTCTCTGAAACCAATGCTGACACTCCATTTTGGATGTGAAAATAAGTGCTGAGATGGCCTTGTGTTTATGTGAGGGTTTTTTGCACATTCTGCTGAGAATCATAATGAATAGAAGCCCTTTAAAGAGGTTATTAATTAGCCTTCCCCTGACAGATGACTCGGTAGGAAATCCATTAGCGGATGTCCGGGTGAACTCACAGCTTTTGGAGCAGCTTTATTATTTTCTGTTTTCTCATTTTCATTGCAGATCTGAAGCCCTGGGTGTCGAATTTCACCTATCCAGGTGTGCATGACTTTTCTCAGCTTGCACTGGATGCCAACAGGAACCAACTCATTGTGGGAGCAAGGTAAAGATAATCTTAATTAGTCTAGGGTGGCTGCTCAAGCTCTTTCCCTTCAGGTTCTGGCTTCAGAGGAGAGTGTGTTTCCAGCTTATGTGGCCAGTTTCCTCCTCAAAAAGAAAGCTATAATTTATGTAGAGAGATTGAGATGTCTAGTATAATTGCAAAGAAGAGAAAATTACTAGAATTAAAAAAAAAAAGATGCAATCAAAATGACTGGTTAATGAAGCAGAATGCTGGCATCTCACTCAGTATTGTGAATGTTAGAAGAGCTACAGTAAATCATTCTGCACCATCCCTCTGCCAGCACAGAATTTGACATCATGGTTTATTTGCTGTGGCCAGACTTTCCCTCAGAACTAGGTTCATCTGTTCACCTTCGTATAAGTAATAGTGGCAATGTGAATAGTTGCTTTCTTCTCTCTTAGAATTCACTTCAGAGCCTGTTTGCTTCATGTGGCTGATACAGTCAGATCCTCACCCAATGCATTTTTGTGCAACTCTATTCTTCTGACCTATTGTATATAATTAGCATATATTTTCCTTTATTTTTAAACATTGTTTTTATTTAGGATACCATATGAGGGGGGTGGAAACAGAGAAGATGAGCACAGGCAAGCTCTTACAAATTTAGAGCTGCATGGGAAAAAGAGCTGTGCTTCAGTGAAATAATATACGTCAGGAGTTGTTGAATCATGAGCCCCAACAGCGATGATTTTTTATTGCATAATAAACAGATAAGACAAGCCAAAAAACCCAAAAAGGCTAAGCATGGTCTAACAAATCAGTTTAAGTATAACATTTAGAATCAGATAACACTGTAGTAGCAGTCTCTACTATTAATGAAAATGGAGGAAGAGACTGCTTTCTTCCCAGGATATTCAGCAGTAGAGGACAGGGATGCAAGAAGCAGGGGTGGAAGAACTCATGGTACAAACAAGAGAAAAGAGCAAGACTTGTAGCAGAAGGAGAGTCTTTTGCTTCACAGAAACAACTGAAGTGTGATTTAATATACATATTCTGTGTGTATTTGTACAGTAAATAATAACACCTTCCTGTAGCTGTTAAAATTGCCAGAGGCCCTCCTACTTTTCATACAGAAACATTTTACTTTTCAAGCTGCGGCTTTACTTGTGCTGGGATCTTTAACCAGAAAGTATTAATATTTATTACTTCAGAATGTCATTGCTTTGGGGATGGCTGTGAACAGTGCCTTCTACCAGGCATTGCACAAACACAGGCCCAGTGCTCTGAGGAATTTATGCTTTACATAATTTGGCTGCACGGCAGTTTCTCCCCACGCAGGTGCTGCTAACGTTGACATGCTTCACCCCTGCTCAAACCCCAGCAACACGTCCTGGAGGGACTCTCTACCTCCCCAAGAGTTTGTACAAGTGTGGTTAGACAGGAGGCTACGATATCATTATAAACAGCGAAATGACAGCAAGTTTGGCTTCCCGCTGGAAGTACAATATATTGCAGTGTATTGCCTCATGAGGAAGCAGTGACAAGTATTTATAGAATTTGCTTGGAAAAGTCAGTTTTCATGAAGCACTACCCACCTGGCTGGGAGACTGAAAGTTTCAGTGGTGCCACACTGCTGTGCTGAGCAGTTCTGGGTACAGTTAAGGAAGTTGTAATTTCCCAGGGTGGAGAGTTTTTTGGGGTTGTATACAGACTTGGTGTGGGGAAAGGGGGGAGTGCTAATCCTTTTCCTCTTCACCACCTCATTTCTTCCCTGTGTGAGGTGATAGGGAGAGATACTTGAAAATGGGATGCTGCACAGTTCTGGGTGAGCTGGGCTCCCTCCTGGAGCTGTGCCTGAGAAACGGGAAGGGGAAGTAAAGCCTTTTCTGTTCCCTCCTTCCCTGATAAATCCACACCTTGTTCTGGACTATTTTTAGGGGTGATTTTTTGAGTCATTAGTTGCTCGTGCACCATCTGCTTGAATTTGCAAATGAAACAATACCTCAAAGAGATAGGAGCTGTCTCTATCCATCTCTGCAGGGTGTAATTTATGAAACCTAAATTTAAATGTTAACCACGTTTAAATGTGCTGCTGTAGATCATATTAGTAGTAACGCCAGCTATTCTGGGGTTATGGAAGGAGTTTGGGATCAGGGTGGCGTTTATAAGTACTCCCACTTCTCAATTTCCTGGTTAACATCATTGTCTTAGATGATAGCATTATAAATTATTTCAGACTACTTCTTTCTGTCTCTATTTAAAAGCAGTATGACCTCACCACAGCATCTCTTTGGCTTAGTTCGTCCTGTGTTTCAAAGCTTCATAGAAAATACTTCCTAGAAGAAAAGAAGATCCTGAGGCTCACAAGGGTTTTCGGTTTCAGGAATTGGACACAGCGTGACTGAAACTGTAAGAGGTATTGAGGGCATGCCATGCAGGCAGGGAGCTGGAATAACACGAGCCTCAGATTTTTAAGCTTTATCCTTATCTGAGAGCCCTCCCTGAATGACTGGTGCTGTCTGAGAGTAAACCAGAGGAGTTTGATAACTCCACTGCACCAAACACCTGCCAAGTCAAAATCCCAGAAACAAAAGAATTAGTTTCAAAAGCCCACCATGGTTTCTAAGCAACGTATTTACTTGTCACATCATTTGTAAAATCCAAATGCTTACAAGTAAGGATATGAATAGTTTAGAACATTGTAAATCTACACGACCCATATTATGAGTCACATTTCATTAAGTATAAAAACACACATTTCAAATTTCATAACCTTCATTTTGACTCACAGTTTGCATGTTTTGTTTTTGTTTTGGATATAGAGTTAGTATTTTAATGTACTATTTTTCTTCTGTGAATGAGTACTTGTTTTGAAATATTTGCTGCTTTTTTCAGCTCTTGAGCACAAGTGATCACTATTTGAGCTTATTTTAATTGGAGGAAAAATAATTTTCTAGACCCCATTATTACTGAGAAAAAAATTGAAAATATGATCACAGTGGTTTCACATTTGTGTTGGAGAAGAAGTTCTCTGCTCTCTCACCTGTGCTGTAGGCAGGGTGCCCAGGCCCCAGGAAGGGTGGGCTTTGTAGAAAAGGGACATAGTGTAGCTGTGACATCCCACCTCCTTGAGAAGCCTTACTCCTTGAGACTATCTCATCGCTGGCTGGGCAGAGACAGGAGCCAGTAAAGAAGTGATGATATGAAAGACCCTGCTTGGAGTCAGGCCAAAAATCACGCTTCACAAGAACTCCCTGTCGAGGACAACATAAAGGGTTTAACAGAGGATGGTTGAGACACCGTGTGACAATCTGGCACAACAGCAAGCTGAAGGGAAACAGCTTGGACAACAGGAGGATGGTACCCAAACAAATGACTGCACAGAGAGTGGCTGGGAAGCCGTAAGGGAAACATTTGACTTTTCCCAGAAGGAAACTGCAGGGGTGTCAGCTCAGGGCAGTAGCCTGCTGGGGCTGTGGATGTGAGAGGCATGGCTATGAGGGTTGGCCATTCACAGCGAGTGAAGGTGTTACTGTAGAAAACCAGCCAGAAAGCATTATGACCAGAAGTCCTCACAGTTCTGCCTGCCAAGAGGGCTGTCAGCTCCATCAGGAGATGGGAAAGGACCATCCCTCGTGGCTGTCGCATGGGGAGCTGCGGCTGAGGAGCCCTTGTCACAACTGGCTGTTACCAAGAAGAGCCCAGAGGTAGAGGGTAGAGAGCAAAAGCTGCATCAGGGGACTCAGAACTGGCAAGTAAAGTGCACATCATCCTGGACTGCCAGACTTCTCTGCAATAAATGTAAAACTACTAAGCTGCTGGTGATGCAAGTCTTGATGCTCTGACAGGGGTGATTTTCATACTTGGTTTAGAGCTGATCTGAATGTGCTTGTTACTGCCAAGTAGGCGCAAGGAAGGAGATATCATAGAATCATAGAAAGACTTGGGTTGGAAGGGATCTTAAAGATCATCTAGTTCCAACTCTCTGACCTTAGGCAGGGATCCCACCTACTAGACTGAGTTGCTCAGGGCCCCATTCAACCTGGTCTTGAACACTTAGAGGAATGGGGCATCATTAGGATTAGTTTGGTGAGCAGGGAAGGTGCTATATGAACTTTCAAGGGTTGTTTTAGGGGGAGCACAGCCTGGTCACACCCCTTCCTGACTATTATGCTCCTAGCTGTATAAGGACTAAAAAAAGTTCTAAATCATGCAGGCTTAGGAGCTGAAGGCTGAATGGAATGACTGATGTCCCAGAAGAGTTCCTTCAAGTTGCAGCTTGCAGAAATATGGCAGATTGTAAATATACTCTAAGACCCTCAACCAGCAGGTTTGGCACTCTGAGTTTATTTAAAGTCTCCGGTGTATGATAGATTAATCTGTCAGACACCAGGTTACATGCAGATTTCTGGCTGAATATAGGCTGATTCCTGCCCGCTTGGCAGAAAGCTCCAGAGCACTGCAGTAAAACGTCAGAACCTGTGCTGGTTGGAAAATATCACTCTTACCCTTGGGCACCTTCAATTCTGTCCAGATCTGGACTGCCAGTAAAACCTGAAGAGAGTAAGTCTCCACAGATTATGTTGGCTAGGCAAAAAGCATTTTGCAAAACAGGAAATTTAGTGGTAGTGGTCGGATCAGAGTTGATCCACAGATCCACAGACTATGAAGTCTGTGAGCAATACTTTGTGTTGCCAAATGATCAGGACCCCTCAACAGCATTTATCCTCACGGGGCTTCAGTGAGGCCAGAAAGAACTAATAATTTTGTGCTATAGATGGGAACCCAAGGCCCAAAGGGATTAAGAACCAGCCTGCCCTGTGAAAAGGCTGTGATGTTGAGTCATGTGAGTTTATCATAGATCTGAAAGGTAGTACAGTACTGTGCCTAACACAGCTACTCCTGCAGTGAGACTGCACTTTCTGAAGATGCCAGTCAAGGTCTGCACAACCTCAGAGATCTCTGCACTTGACTAATGTGGACATAGCCAAAGTTCTTCTATGGACTCAGAAAACCCATGGCAGAGGTATGATTTGGAC